CTTCAGGAGGCCCTAACTCAAATTCTAACAGCGTGTACTGGCCTTGTTCAGGCGGTCTCTATCTAGACGGCCGCAACCACTTCTCAGGACGGGGGAGGCACTCAGACTCCCACCGCTCGCACACCCGAGCAGGTTGTTCAGGAACTTCAGACACCGGAGGCACCACCAGCCCATCCGGTTGTAGCTGCTCAGGACTATGTGGTTCCTGCTATGCCTGAGGATGATCAGCGTAGGTTGGAGAGATTTGGGATACTCCATCCTCTACCTTTCAGTGGCACAGAGAGAGAAGATGCCTAGGATTTCTTGGACAGGTGTCAGAGGATACTCCGTATTGCTGGTATTTTGGAGACTTGTGGGGTCTCATCCACTACTTTTTAGTTTTTCGGGGCTGCACTCAAATGGTGGGAGACTTACGAGAGGCGTAGGCCTGTTGGCGTAACACCCCTTACTTGGCATCAGTTCTCCCTGGTCTTTTTGGAGAAGTTCGTGCCTCAGTCCCGCAGAGAGGAGCTGCGTAGACAGTTTGAGCAGCTTCGTCAGGGTGATATGTCTGTGACACAATATGAGATGCGGTTCTCCGAGTTGGCCCGTCATGCTATCTGGTTGTTTCCCACAGACCGAGAGAGGATCAAGAGGTTTATAGATGGCCTCGATTTTCAGCTTCTGTTGCTTATCACCAGAGAAAGGGTGTTTGGTGTTACTTTTGATGAGGTTGTCGACATTTCTCGACAAATTGAGATGGTTCGCGGTCAGGAGAGGATTGAGAGGGAGGCCAAGAGGCCTCGTGGTCATNGAAAAATATCCGGCCAGAAAGACAGATTGAGATGGTTCGCGGTTAGGAAAGGGTTGAGAGGGAGGCCAAGAGGCCTTGTGGACAAGGTAGATTCAGCGGTGCTCCTTTTGGGGGTCAGTTCCAGCACGGTAGAGGTCGTCATTTCAGACAGGCTCAGTCAGCTCGACCATTTCACCGTGGTGCATCATCTGGCCATGGTTCTAATAGTTCTCATCAGGGCCACTCATCACTCGGGGCCCTTCCAGCTCAGAGTTCATCCCGTGCTCCACCAGTTCAAGGCTCCTCTATACCAGGTTCTTCTACCAGTTATCCCGATGCTAGGGGTTCCATTCAGTTCCCGCCACCAGCACCAGGGAGTTTTTTTGAGTGTGGGGAGTTTGGGCATATGTGGAGGCAGTATCCTCGTCGTCATGGAGGTCTATCTCAACAAAGGAGTCAGCCTTTGACTTCAGCACCAGTTACTTCACCACCCGCCCAGTCAGCTCGGGGTGGAGGCCGGTCATCTAGGGGTCGCCCTAGAGGAGGAGGCAGATTAGGGGGTGGCCAGGCCCGTTTCTATGCCCTCCTTGCTAGACCAGATGCTATTGCTTCGGATGCTGTGATTACAGTTAGTGTCTCAGTTTGTTATAGAGATGCCTTTGTATTATTTGACCTTGGTTCCACGTATTCATATGTTTCCTCGTATTTCACCCATTTTTTGGATATGCCTCGTGAGTCTTTAGTTTCATCTATTCATATATCTACTCCTGTGGTCGATACTATTGTTGTGGACCGCGTATATCGGTCATGTGTGGTGACTATTGGGGGTATGGAGACCTAAGTGGACCTTTTGCTGCTCAGTATGGTTGACTTCGATGTTATATTGGGTATGGATTAATTATCTCCATGCCATGCTGTTCTAGATTGTCACGCTAAGACCGTGATAATGACTATGCCGGGATTTTCGAGGGTTGAGTGAAGCGGTTCTGTAGATTATGTACCAAGTAGGGTGATTTCATATTTGAAGGCTCAGCGTATGGTTGAGAAGGGTTGCATGTCTTATTTGGCTTTTGTGAGGGATGTTAGTGCAGAGATTACTACCATTGATTATGTTTTGGTGGTACGTGATTTTCTGGATGTGGTTCTTGCAGACCTGCTGGGCATGCCGCCTGACAGGGATATTGACTTTGGTATTGATTTGGTGCCGGGCAATCAGCCCATTTCTATTCCACCATATCGTATGGGACCGGTGTGGTTGAAGGAGCAGCTTCAGGAACTCCTTAATAAGGGGTTTATTCGGCCTAGTGTGCACTGGTTCTATTTGTAAAGAAGAAGGATGGTTCCATGAGGATGTGCATTGATTACAGGCAGTTGAACAAGGTCACAGTCAAGAATAAGTATCCTTTGCCTCGTAATGATGATTTATTTGACCAGCTTCAGGGAGCGAGGGTGTTCTCCAAGATTGATTTGAGTTCCGGTTATCACCAGCTGAAGATTCGGATATTCTTAAGACAACTTTCAGGACCCGATATGGCCATTATGAGTTCTTAGTGATGTCTTTTGGGCTGACCAATGCCCCAGCAGCGTTCATGCATTTGATGAACAGTGTATTCCAACCCTATTTGGACTCATTCGTTGTTGTATTCATTGATGACATCCCGGTGTACTCTCGTAGCCAGGAGGAGCACGCTAAGCATTTGAGGATTGCATTACAGAGATTGAGGGAAGAGAAGCTTTATGCAAAGTTCTCCAAGTGTGAGTTTTGGCTCGGTTCAATAGTATTCTTGGGGCACGTGGTGTCCAGTGAGGGTATTCAGGTGGATCCAAAGAAGATAGAGGCGGTGCAGAATTGGCCTAGACCGTCCTCAGCCACGAAAATTAGAAGTTTTCTTTGTTTGGTGAGTTATTACCATCGCTTTGTAGAGGGATTTTCTTCTATTGCATCGCCCTTGACCAAATTGACCCAAAAGGGTGCTCCATTCAGGTGGTCGGACGAGTGGGAGGAGAGCTTTCAGAAGCTCAAGACTGCTTTGACCACAGCTCCAGTGTTAGTTCTGCCATCAGCTTCAGGTTCTTACACCGTGTATTATGATGCCTCGAGGTTAGGCATTGGATGTGTTCTGATGCAGGAAGGTAGGGTGATTGCCTATGCCTCGTGCCAGTTGAAGACCCATGAGAAGAACTATCCTGTCCATGATCTTGAGTTAGCAGCCATTGTTCACGCCTTGAAGATTTGGCGCCATTATTTGTATGGGGTTCATTGTGAGATCTATACTGATCACCGGAGTTTGCAGCATTTGTTTAAGCAGAAGGATCTTAATTTGCATCAACAGAGATGGTTGGAGCTTCTTAAGGACTATGATATCACTATTTTGCGCCATCCGGGGAAGGCCAATGTGGTGGCCGATGTTTTGAGTCGCTGGGTGGAGAGTTTGGGGAGTTTAGCATATCTTCCAGCAGCAGAGAGAACTTTGGCATTGGATGTTCAGGCCTTAGCGGGCCAGCTTGTGAGATTGGATATTTCGGAGACGAGTCAGGTGTTGGCTTGCGTGGTCTCCAGGTCTTCTCTTTATGACCGTATCATGGAGCGTCAGTATGATGACCCCCACTTACTCATTCTTCAGGACAGGGTTCTGAGAGGTGATGCTAGGGATGTGACTATTGATGATGAAGGCGTGTTGAGAATACAGGGCCGGATATGTGTGCCTAATGTAGATGGGCTTCGGGAGTTGATTCTTGAGGAGGCCCACAACTCGCGGTATTTCATCCATCCGGGTGCCACGAAGATGTATCAGGATTTGAGACAGCACTATTGGTGGAGGCAGATGAATAAGGATATTGTTTGGTTTGTAGCTCGGTGTCTCAACTGTCATCAGGTTAAGTATGAACATCAGAGACTGGATGGCTTGATTCAGAGATTAGAGATCCCAGAGTGGAAGTGGGAGCGGATCACCATGGACTTCGTAGTTGGG